AGTTTACTACTAAGCTGTGTGATAAGTTACCAACAGGGACAGTTTGCTACTAAGCTGTACGATAAGTTACCAACAGAGACGGTTTACTACTAAGCTGTACGATAAGTAACAAGCAGATACGGTTTACTACTAAGCTGTAGGATAAGTTACCAACAGAGACGGTTTACTACTAAGCTGTGTGATAANCGATAAGCAAGATCGTTTTGATTTTCCGATCGTGAACCTTTTGTTTATTAAAAGTAACATCCGTAATTACTAACCTTCGGTTTGTACATGTAACAGTTAATTTAATATTAAAGAGCTTGCTCTGAATACTTCATATAATGATTTCCGTTAAAATGTTGCCTGCTGACCGACATACTTATAAAATTTGGTAGCCGTAATGAATTCATTGGTAAAAGGGCTATTTCCTAGTGTGATATGAAGGTCGCAGCTTTTTATAATGTTCATTAGTGTGTGTTGCTATTTAGTGGGCTCATTAGTGTGTGTTGCTGTTTATAAGGCTCATTACTGTGTGTTGCTGTTTATTAGGCTCATTACTGTGTATTGCTGTTTATTAGGCTCATTCCNGTTTATTAGGCTCATTAGTGTGTGTTGCTGTTTACCAGGCTCATTAGTGTGTGTTGCTGTTTATTAGGCTCATTAGTGTGTGTTGCTGGTTATAAGGCTCATTAGTGTGTGTTGCTGTTAATAAGGCTCATTAATGTGTGTTGCTGTTAATAAGGCCCATTAGTGTGTGTTGCTGTTTATAAGGCTCATTAGTGTGTGTTGCTGTTTATTAGGCTCATTAGAGTGTGTTGCTGTTTATAAGGCTCATTAGTGTTGTTGCTGTTTATCAGGCTCATTAGTGTGTGTTGCTGTTTATTAGGCTTATTAGTGTGTGTTGCTGTTTATTAGGCTCATTAGTGTGTGTTGATGTTTACCAGGCTCATTAGTGTGTGTTGCTGTTTATTAGGCTCATTAGTGTGTGTTGCTGTTAGTAAGGCTCATTAGTGTTTGTTGCTGTTTAGTAGTCTCATTAGTGTGTGTAGCTGTTTATTAGGCTTATTAGTGTGTGTTGCTTTTTATTAGGCTCATTATTGTGTGTTGCTGTTTAACAGGCTCATTAGTGTGGGTTGCTGTTTATAAGGTTCATTAGTGTTGTTGCTGGTTATCAGGCTCATTAGTGGGTGTTGCTGTTTATAAGGATTAGTGTGTGTTGCTGCTTATTAGGCTCATTACTGTGGGTTGCTGTTTATTAGGATCATTAGAGTGTGTTGCTGGTTATAGGGCTCATTAGTGTTGTTTCTGTTTATCAGGCTCATTACTGTGGGTTGCTGTTTATAAGGTTCATTAGTGTTGTTGCTGGTTATCAGGCTCATTACTGTGGGTTGCTGTTTATTAGACTCATTAGTGTGTGTAGCTGTTTATTAGGCTTATTAGTGTGTGTTGCTGGTTATAAGGCTTATTAGTGTGTGTTGATGTTTATTAGGCTCATTAGTGTGTGTTGCTGTTTATTAGGCTCATTACTGTGTGTTGCTGTTTATAAGGCTCATTGGTGTGTGTTGCTGTTTATAAGGCTCATTAGTATGTGTTGCTGTTTATTAGGCTCATTAGTGTGTGTTGCTGTTTATTAGGCTCATTACTGTGTGTTGCTGTTTATAAGGCTCATTAGTGTTTGTTGCTGTTTAGTAGGCTCATTAGTGTGTGTTGCTGTTTATTAGACGCATTAGTGTGTGTTGCTGTTTATAAGGCTCATTGGTGTGTGTTGCTGTTTATAAGGCTCATTAGTGTTTGTTGCTGTTTAGTAGGCTCATTAGTGTGTGCTGCTGTTTATTAGGCTCATTAGGGTGTGTTGCTGTTTATTAGGCTCATTACTGTGTGTTGCTGTTTATAAGGCTCATTGGTTTGTGTTGCTGTTTATAAGGCTCATTAGTGTGTGTTGCTGTTTAGTAGGCTCATTAGTGTGTGCTGCTGTTTATTAGGATCATTAGTGTGTGTTGCTGTTTATTAGGCTCATTACTGTGTGTTGCTGTTTATAAGGCTCATTAGTGTGTGTTGCTGTTTAGTAGTCTCATTAGTGTGTGCTGCTGTTTATTAGGCTCATTCGTGTGTGTTGCTGTTTATTAGGCTCATTACTGTGTGTTGCTGTTTATAAGGCTCATTGGTTTGTGTTGCTGTTTATAAGGCTCATTAGTGTGTGTTGATGTTTAGTAGGTTCATTAGTGTGTGTTGCTGTTTATAAGGCGCATTAGTGTATGTTGCTGTTTATTGGACTCATTAGTGTGTGTTGCTGTTAATTAGGCTCATTAGTGTGTGGTGCTGTTAATTAGGCTCATTAGTGTGTGTTGCTGTTCATAAGGCTCATTAGTGTGTGTTGCTGATTAGTAGGTTCATTTGTGTGTGTTGCTGTTTATAAGGCTCATTAGTGTGTGTTGCTGTTTATAAGGCTCATTTGTGTGCGTTGCTTTTTATTAGGCTCATTAGTGTGTGTTGCTGTTTAGTAGGTTCATTAGTGTGTGTTGCTGTTTATAAGGCGCATTAGTGTATGTTGCTGTTTATTGGGCTCATTAGTGTGTGTTGCTGTTAATTAGGCTCATTTGTGTGTGTTGCTGTTAATTAGGCTCATTAGTGTGTGGTGCTGTTAATTAGGCTCATTAGTGTGTGTTGCTGTTTATTCGGCTCATTAGTGTGTGTTGCTGTTTATGAGGCTCATTAGTGTGTGTCGCTGTGTATTAGGCTCATTATTGTGTGTTGTTGTTTATTAGGCTCATTAGTGTGTGTTGCTGTTTAGTAGGCTCATAAGTGTGTGCTGCTGTTTATTAGGCTCATTAGTGTGTGTTGCTGTTTATTCGGCTCATTAGTGTGTGTTGCTGTTTATGAGGCTCATTAGTGTGTGTCGCTGTGTATTAGGCTCATTATTGTGTGTTGTTGTTAGTGTGTTGCTGTTTATAAGGCTCATTAGTGTTTGTTGCTGTTTAGTAGGCTCATTAGTGTGTGTTGCTGTTTATTAGACGCATTAGTGTGTGTTGCTGTTTATAAGGCTCATTTGTGTGCGTTGCTTTTTATTAGGCTCATTAGTGTGTGTTGCTGTTAATTAGGCTCATTAGTGTGTGTTGCTGTTAATTAGGCTAATTAGTGTGTGTTGCTGTTGATAAGGCTCATTAGTGTGTGTTGCTGATTAGTAGGTTCATTTGTGTGTGTTGCTGTTTATTAGGCTCATTAGTGTGTGTTGCTGTTTATAAGGCTCATTAGTGTGTGTTGCTGATTAGTAGGTTCATTTGTGTGTGTTGCTGTTTATAAGGCTCATTAGTGTGTGTTGCTGATTAGTAGGTTCATTTGTGTGTGTTGCTGTTTATAAGGCTCATTAGTGTGTGTTGGTGTTTAGTAGGTTCATTAGTGTGTGTTGCTGTTTATAAGGCTCATTAGTGTGTGTTGGTGTTTAGTAGGTTCATTAGTGTGTGTTGCTGTTTATAAGCCTCATTAGTGTGTGTTGCTGTTTAGTAGGTTCATTAGTGTGTGTTGCTGTTTATAAGGCTCATTAGTGTGTGTTGCTGATTAGTAGGTTCATTTGTGTGTGTTGCTGTTTATAAGGCTCATTAGTGTGTGTTGCTGTTTAGTAGGTTCATTAGTGTGTGTTGCTGTTTATAAGGCGCATTAGTGTATGTTGCTGTTTATTGGACTCATTAGTGTGTGTTGCTGTTAATTAGGCTCATTAGTGTGTGTTGCTGTTAATTAGGCTAATTAGTGTGTGTTGCTGTTGATAAGGCTCATTAGTGTGTGTTGCTGATTAGTAGGTTCATTTGTGTGTGTTGCTGTTTATAAGGCTCATTAGTGTGTGTTGCTGATTAGTAGGTTCATTTGTGTGTGTTGCTGTTTATAAGGCTCATTAGTGTGTGTTGGTGTTTAGTAGGTTCATTAGTGTGTGTTGCTGTTTATAAGGCGCATTAGTGTATGTTGCTGTTTATTGGACTCATTAGTGTGTGTTGCTGTTAATTAGGCTCATTAGTGTGTGGTGCTGTTAATTAGGCTCATTAGTGTGTGTTGCTGTTCATAAGGCTCATTAGTGTGTGTTGCTGATTAGTAGGTTCATTTGTGTGTGTTGCTGTTTATAAGGCTCATTAGTGTGTGTTGCTGATTAGTAGGTTCATTTGTGTGTGTTGCTGTTTATAAGGCTCATTAGTGTGTGTTGCTGTTTATAGTGCTCATTAGTGTGTGTTGCTGTTTATAGGGCTCATTAGTGTGTGTTGCTGTTTATAGGGCTCATTAGTGTGTGTTGCTGTTTATTAGGCTCATTAGTGTGTGTTACTGTTTATTAGACTTATTAGTGTGTGTTGCTGTTTATTAGGCTCCTTAGTGTGTGTTGCTGTTTATTAGGCTCATTAGTGTGTGTTGCTGTGTATTAGGCTCATTATTGTGTGTTGTTGTTTATTAGGCTCATTAGTGTGTGTTGCTGTTGATAAGGCTCATTAGTGTGTTTGTTGTTTATTAGGCTCATTATTGTGTGTTGCTGTTTATTAGGCTCATTAGTGTGTGTTGCTCTTTTGTTGTGTCTACTTATGGTCTCGCTATGATTACGTGACACTGCATGGATTGGTCCTAGATTTACATGACGGGTGTCGTCGACAAAGCAGACGACGCTTACCTTTCCGGTATAATCGGTCTTCTTCTCCTTGTTCTTGTTCAAGGCTCTCCGTGTAAATCTTTTCTTTTTTTGTTCTTTGTCCTCGTTTCGTTAACACTTTAGTGTTCTCTTCTATTTTACCTTTTATAAATGTTCATCCAACATCCGTGACAGGTATGTGGTCGTTCTAAAACGACAAAGTTTCTAAGAGCGGTATCTTTGTAGTAATATTATGTAAACTGCCGACTCGGTTTGTTGCAGTACAATACTGATAACCCTATCTACCTTCTAGAGAGGGGATATTGATCAATCTTACCTCAGCTCAGATTGGATGGAATAACAAGGAAGCTCAAAATTTTAATTTCAGACAGGTTTATTAAAAGTCACATATCGATTACATATACAAACATTTAAAATTTCACATTTAGTAAAATATACATACATACTCAATCGCACCCTTCTGGTGTCAATTGAAAAGTAAATTAATGAGACAGTAAATATGCTAAAATAACCTTTCACCTTTTATGTTAATATGAACATATGTATACAATATAAAAAGTTATTTAAAATGTATAAAAGTTCAAAAAAGTAACGTAATGTTATCTTTCTTATTAGTCCATAAAGGCCCTGCAGAATGATGGTGGTTATCATATTTTCTACTACATTGTAGTACTGCAAAGACACAAAAAACAGTTACAATTGTGGGTGCGGAAGCACCCCTCAATATGAACTGTTTTAAATTCTGGGGATTTTTAAGGGTTGTCGGAGCACCCCTTCATGTAAATGAGGAACAGATTAAGGTTTCCGGGTTTCCGTCTACGTTCTTTCCATAATAAATGCTTCTTTTAAAATACAATTATAAAAATTTGACAATTTAAACTAATATTTAAACCTTCTACATGTAAATAACTGATTGTTCGCCAAATAAAGTCTTCCAATCGCAGAGTAAACCATTACTCTACCTGTAGATATGTGAACACACAGGATATTTTTACTAATCTTATATATTTTATTCGCATCTCGTCATCTCAACACATGTATCACCGGCGGACTAACTATCATATACCCCAACGTGTGTGTTAAAGACGTCAATATAGTTCTAATAGCTAAATTACTGTTACGACATTTGTAATGTAAGGTGATTAAATAAATAATCAGCATACAAAATAAATACACTTAACTCTATGACAATCTTAATTAGCTGAGCCGTATTTAATAAAAAATATTCTAAAAATCATTTATGGTTAATGAAAAAGCTAGGCTGATCAAACTTGCCCAATAAATCGATCCGACATTGTTAGTGAACAGTTGGAACATAATCAAACAAAATCAAAAGCCTTGCGAAAATTTGAAAGAAAAAGAAAAAGAAAACAAAAAAAACAACAAAAACAAAAACACGAACGGAATCCATAGTTAGTGTGTCTTAAAACATCATGTTTAGTACAAACTTCTAGTGGTTCATTAAAACAGCTGAAAAACTAACACCTCAAAAATATATAAAATAAAAAGTAGAATATTAAAAGAAATATTTGAGATTGTCCTGCATCAGTACACCATCATGACATATACTTACAGTTTATCAAATATATATGTTGTGATAATTGATTAAAAAATATAAAAAATATATATAAAAAATACATAAACATATATATATAAAATATTTAACAATATTGTAAAAAAGAGAGAGAGAGAGTATTGTGCTTCCACCGGGGACCGAACAAACGACCCCTAGCTTCCCAGCCCGACGTTCTAACAGTTGAGTTTCAAGGAATTTTCCTCTTGAGCGTAGCAAGAAAGCGAACATGATCAATGTATACAATTAAAACCTGCAATACTACAATATATGTTACTGTGTTTGGTGAGAGTAACGATATATTTAAAATAAAATATATAAATCGTTGGGTTACGACTCTGACAAAAACGTCGATGAATGGAAATGCAAATTGCAGTAATTCTCCAAATCCGCTAGAATAAGTTCCGGAAACTTGTAAACATGTTCTTTTTCCTTTAAAGACAGGCTGGTATAAGTGATTGAATACTCTGAAATATTTAATTCTGATCGAACAAAGTCCAATTCGTTTTCAGGTTCGTTATAGCCAAACCTCCCTGGCTGTCTACTTCAGCTCCAGAAAAGCTGTGTAAGAATCCCGTCCTTCCTGACGGGGGTTCGGCCTCTACAACAACACCCCCTTGATCCCCGCCGAACGGTCCTATGCACCTTCCACTGCTTGTGGTAAATGATATGCAATTTATCACCCAGCCATATCTTACGGTCACCTTGACAATGACCTCTGAACTTTCCAACTCTGCTATGTTACAGCTACAGCCTTCACTCTCTCTCAAGCCGTTGAAATTCCATTTTCCGTCATAGACATGTAGGCCACCAACAATTTTCCAATCGTCCCAGTCTCTGGTGACGACGCTGATCTTTGACAGTCGTCTGGTATCGTAGTGTTCGTTCATTCCTTTCCCATCAAACTGCCGAACGACCACATTCACCTCGCCGCCAGCAGCAAACGCTCGATGGTCAGATATGATATGCGAACATATGTCGGTCCTACTTCTGCCCCTTGCCGTAGATGCGATAGCCATTGGGTTGTAATCTTCGGGTAAAAGAAGTTTGTGAGGTTCTGCTAATTCGAGCAACAACTCAGGCGAGACATCATCTTCTGACAATCGAGAGGCTTTTACAAGCTCGTGACTTTCCTCTCTGTTAGGCTTTGAATCCCTCTGTCCCGAGATGTACTGAAGAGCGGCCTTGAAAATGGCCAGCTCGTTTTCAGAATGGCACATAGGAAGTTTGTTGTGGAATACAACCAAGTGATCATCACGCAGAATGTCCAGCAATATAGTGTATGGTATGTCTGCAAACCCGTCCAACTGGCTAACATATTTCAGGTTCCGTCCTACTACTGGTAAACATGCCTTTTTCAATTCGTTCATGGAGTAACAATCAGCAAATTGTAAAATAGCACTGCAGTTTTCCTTTTCCACATTTTGAATCATAAACTTCTCACACGCCTCCCTTACAAACAGTACCTGGGTGTAATCAGCAAAGATAAACAGGTTTTGGACGTTCCTATCTGTGATTGTGACCTCTCCAGTATAGGCATAGTGTATCAGTGATTGCAGGCTTTCAAAATCAGTATTATCCAACTCCACTTCAGCCTTATCCTTCGCATCCCTTTGAAGGTAAGTCTTGAAGTATTCTGACAGGGAACTCAGCACAAGTTTGTGTGTTTTGAGACTCTGTCCTTCAACAATGACTGTGATGTCGCAGTATATCCCCTCTTGCCAGAGATTATACATAGTTTTTAGTGTCGCCCTGGAATGATCAACATCGGAGTAGGGTTGGGACAGGCTAGGTCGAAACGTTAACGCCTTCATATCCATCTTCAAATGTTTGAACAAATTCCTGAAAGAGATTAAATTAAAGCATAAATAAGATTTCCATTTACATTCCTCATTACAGAAACAAATCAGGTAATGTCTCAATCAATTACGAAAGATGTAGTGACCCTAAATGTAAAAAAAACGTTGTGTTGTATCTTTGAGCAAGATACTTTAATCCGCTAGTTCCAGTCTACTCAGCTATAAATGAGGGTAGTGGTAGAATTGTACAATGCTAGCTGTGAGCGCCGAAATGGCAGCACCGGCTGTATGCTCCCCGGGGAGTTGAGAAAAATAGCTTTGAGACGACCGACGAACTAGGTTATGATAAAGCGGTATAAACGAACCTCGAATTATTATTATTATTATTATTACAAGCTAACCGGTAATAAGATTTATATATATATTTTAAATGCCGCCGTGACTATTATCCATAATTATGTTTATTGAAGATTTAAAAGAAACTGTGGTTAGGTATACATGTAGCAAACACTAGTGAAAGCAAGTGTTTTTTTTTATAAAAGCAATGGATAAAGTCTTGAGTGTAATCAGCCCAACAGAACTCAAAATATAAGTAGTGCATTTTATAAACTGATTCTCTATTCATATAGTAACAGTGATAGTTACCTAACACCCGGGCCTGGAAAGTTGTCCCAAGCAGGCACTTTCTTTGAAGAAGCACTCTATAAAGTCAAGAGTGTAATCAGCCCAAGAGAAATCAAGATATTGTGCATTAGTGCATTAAACAGATTTTCTATTTATAGTGACCCATTGACCTTTGACCACTGGACCTGAAAAATCCCAAGCAGGCACGTTCTTCCAGGAAGGACAAGTTAAAACCTGAGTGCAATCAGTCCAACAGAATTTGAAATACAGTGCACAAACTGATGTTCTATTTATAGTAAGTGACCTTGACCTCTGATATCAAAGGCTGAAAAGCTATCCAAAAGGTTAAGCAAACGTTTTATTACACTGCATAAAGTCCATGTATGCACACACACAAGGTTCTACACTTAAAGTTGGTAAGTTGACTTTAATATTCATGTGTTTTTTCTGTATGTTATTACCATCTCCAAAACATATTGGATGAAGTTGCTAAGTGTTTAAATTGAATCAGTTGATGATTTTCTATGTATAAAGTTTGACCAAAATCCGTGAAAGAATGAAGCTGCTAAGTGTTTACATTGAATAGAGACGGGACAGGATGATTTTCTATAAATAGCAAATGTGACCTTGGCCTTGACCTTGGATCCCTGAAATACAAAGATGTCCAAAGTATAACCAAACTTGACCTTTGTATAAAGTTTGACCAAAATCTGTTAATGAATGAAGTTTAACTGCTAAGTGTTTACATTGAATAGAGACAGGACACGACGCAACGGGACAGGACGGGATGCCGGGCGCCGCACCAGGGCCAAAGCTCACTTGTCCTTGGCAGGTGAGCTAAAAACAGATAGAAGGACAAACGGAAAATCTGATTCCTAAAGATGTGCAGGGGTCCTAACAACAAATTGTGTAATTGAATCGGAGAACTCCCCTTGTGGACCCCACTACTCCCCATATGGAGCCAGATGAGAGAGACCCTCTGTTAAACGGCATTCAGTCTTC